GAGCCTTGCAGGGTTGGGGCAGCGTCTCGATGGTCGGGGCACGTGTAAGAAACACAACCCCATGTGGTACCCAAGGTCCCCCTTGTGATGTCAGGACCTCCATGAGAATAACGGGGCCCCCGACGTGGCCTCCCTTCCTGGGGTCTCCCGTCCAGTTCGGTGGGTTCCGTGCAGCCCTGGGTCTCTGGGGTACTTTGGGGTGGTCAGCTGTAAATGGTTGTTCGTCCATGACATCGGGTACACCTCCCCCACCCCGGGCTGGGCGACGTCGGGAGGGTTTCTGTGCATGGCAGCCAGGAGCTGAGGCCCCCTTTGCCATGTTGGGTGTGACCCCAGGATCACTGTCCACTCACTGTCACTTGGAAAGGCGGTGCCCAGAAGATTCTATCTTTGTTTTGCTTTACTTTGTTTTGTTCAGAGGAAGGAGAAAGCTTTCCAGAGCAAGTCTGGAGAACTGAGATGGTGAACATCCCCCTGGCCCACGCGTCCCCAGGTCTCGGAGTCTCTGTTGGCCGCGGTCATCTGCGTGTCCTGTTGGGTAATCAAGACTTTACACTAAAAAAAATTATTCCCCATTTTCACCTGGAACTTTAGTCTGGCAGGGTTGGGTACAAGGGGGACGAAAGCATTATTAGGGAAAGACATTCAAGAGTTGCTTAGCACAAGGTCCTGAACTGCTTCGCTAGTTGAAAATGGGTTTACGGACATGCTTGGCAGCCGGCTTGGTGGTCGGTCTATTGGAGTCTTCAGACAGCGGCGAAGGGGCTGGAGTGCCCCCACGGGCAGGCCGCGGCGTCAGTCCCTGGAAAGCAGTGCGCACAGCTGAACGAAGGGCCAGATGGGAAGGCCCTTTTAGGGACCTGGTGCCTTGACCCCAGACTGCTGCCCCAGACGTGTGGTCCCGCTGGGGTTGTCTTGTCCCCTCCTGTCAGCTGCCTCAGCCTGCCCCCTACTTGTCCGTTAGCACACGCGCGCTCACCGCTGTGGCCTAGGGGAGAAACGGAGCTGGGAGAGCCCCTCGCCCGCCCTAGGACTGGGCCGGATGCACAGCTTGGCTGCACCCCATGGCTGTTACTGGAACCTGAGCAAGAGCCAAGCCGAGTCATGGAGGGCCCAGAGAGTGTGGCCCGGGCAGCGGAGCTCACTGGGCTGAACTGGGAGAGAACGTCAAGGCAACCAGGATCCAACAGACCCTCTGGACGGGGCAAGAAGCCCAGTGGGATCCACCTGGAGGCACGCTCTGCCCCTCAGCTCAAAGCCTTTCAGCACCTGGCCTTGGCAGGGTCTGGCCAGGTCTGGCAGGCCCACAGCTTTGGCTGCCGTTTCCGCCCTGGAGAGACATAGTCCGGGCAAAGGCCCAGCTTGGGATGGTGTCTGAATTTCCGTGGGCCACCCTCTGGGGGAGCAGGAGGTGACAGGCTGGGCACCTGCGTGCTCTGGGATGGAGGGCACTTTTTCTCTGCATTTAGCTGAAAAATGAAGGTTACAGAAGGGCCACTCCAGTGGGCAGCCACAGGGTCACAAAATGCTTATTGGGAGACCTGATTTTTATCCAAGTGCGCGTCCCGACGGGGGGCTTGTTGTATGTGCCAGTCTGAAGTGCGCCAGTGGGCCACTCAAGCCCATGAGTCCGGCAGCCCTGCGTGCCCCCAAGGGGGCTTGACCTGCAGCAGTCCTTGGGGGTGGGGGGCCTGGGGCGAAGGCCGGCAGGTGTGGATGACAATGCACCAACGCCAGTGACACATTCTGTGGGGGACAGCAGTCCCCTTCCCCTGGGGCCGGAAGGTCCCAGAAGCATAATTCTCTTTCCCTCCTGCTGAGCCTGAACCTCAGCACAGGATTTCCTGTCTCTCCTGGTGACCAAGGGACATAAGCCTCACTCCAGCTCTTGATTTCTGGAAGCCAAGGGATCTGGGCAACGGGGCCTCCCCAGCCCCGCCCCCGCCCCCGACAGGGCTCCTGGCCTCCCTGCAGGGAAGCCAAGGGTGACTAGTAACTGAGGTCCCATAGAGGGTCTTGCTGACCGCAGGCTGGCCATCTGGCTCTTCCCTGACCCCTCGGAGCCTACTCCTCCTCCTGTCCCCCAGCCACTGCAGCTTCCCAGACACTCCTTCCCAATGAGATCAGAAAGAAGGCCAGGAGGGCAGCTGGCCATTCAGCAATCGTGTGCCCTGTGCCCGTGGATGTCCCTCGCCCAGCAACCAAGAAGCAGTGGCCGCCCTCGACATGGCCACTCCCCGCTCACGGGTACTGACAACTGTGTGGCCCAAGCATGTCCCTCTCTGCTGTGGCCAGGACACCAGGCAATCAGCCCCGGTTTGGGGAACTTGCCTCACTCCTCCCTGGAGAGACCCGCCTGCCCCCCACGCCCCAGCCCAGGCTCCTTTTCCACACCTGCATCCCACACCGCCATTCTTCCCATCTTGGCTTTGTGGATTTCACAGTCCCAAATTCACATTCAACTCAATCACAGCATGGATGGAAAAATGAATAAACATATAATATAATGAATGGACTTCCTCCCCCACCTCAGACTTCTTTCACTGCCTCTAAGCCCCCCTCCAAGCCGGGAGAGGCTGCACAGCAGGAGAGGGCAGGACCTGAGGCTCACTGGGGCTGCACCTGGCCAGGTGGCGTCCCTAGGACTTGCCCCCCACAAGGCAGGGAGGAGGACCTCCTGGCTGGTCCCCTGGGTGGGCTGGAGGAGAGATGACCTCAACTGGCCGCACACTCTCATTCATGACCATCATATTCTGTGCCTGCAGCCGTTACTGAGAACCTGGACCACGGTGGGGAGGGGGCTGTGTGGCGGTCTGGGGAGGGCGTGGAGGCCCCAGGAGCCCAGTGGCCACTGGTGGGGGCGGGGGGAGGGCAGAAGTCACTGTGGGGGCCCGGGGTGGCCCTCCCCCAGCACCTTCCACCTCGCAGCCACCCTTCCGGTCTTTCTGCCCCCTTGCCTCCTGCTGGACTCCGAAGGGCAGGGGGCTGGGCTTGCATCGTCCAGGCAGACTCCGACCCAGGGCCCACACCCTGCCCCTCTTGGCAAGGCGCTCAGAAGGATGTGCTTAGAAGGATGCCGTTCAGGGAATAAAGGCCAGAAGGAAACACCGGGGAAAGAGTTTACTGACCACCTGACACCCAGCGAGGGCCCCTGGGCAGGGGGTGCTGTGTTTTTGGGGAGCAACCTGGGGAGACAGGGCAGGAGGGGGCTCAGAAGAGAGGGCAGCATTCCTGCCCTCGGGGCATGGACTCCATGCTGCATCTTCAGTGCCAGGCTGTCTGGGGACAAAGATTCTCTGCTTGACCAAATTCTAGTCAGGCTCCGGAACCTTCCCCCGGGCCCATCTGCACCCTCCGGTGACATCCAGTTTTAGCAAGAAGTCACCACCCTCCTCCCCTGAAGCCCTCCACATCTGATCAGTTTCCTCACACCCCGCCCCCGCCCCCCAGGTGAGGTCTGACCACCTGGCCTGCCTTCAACAAGAATCCTGGGAGGTGGGTTCAGCCTGGCCGCCCCCACCCCTGCCGGCTCCTCTTGGTCACTGTCCATCCGCTGACTCGCAGCTGCTCCTTGCCTGTAAATCCCATGGCCCCCGCTGTATTCAGAGTGGAGGCCATCTCCCCCTCCCACGTTGGTCCTTGTGCCTGTCCAGACCCACCCCAGCAAATAAGTCTTAGCAGGCTTTAACAAGTGTCCGTGGATTTTGTTTCTTTAACGCTGGCTCCAGTAAGAACAGGTCCTGGGGAACCCAGGGCCCACAGAGAACACAGTTCAGGTCTTGAAAACAAGAATAACTAGCCGGGACAAAGGGAACAGGAATGTCAGGGTCCTGGGAGGATGAGCCCGGTGGGCAGGGTCCAGGGCTGTGCAGGTGATAGGATGGGCCCAGCTCCACACTGGGTCCAGATCTTCCCCAAGCAGGGGGCGTTTTGATGAGAGAGTCAGCTGGGAGAAGGATGCCTGTGGGAGACAGCCCAGCCTGAGCTGAGGACCTCAGTCCCCAAAGCCCCAGACCCAGTTCAGCCCCGGGGGGCACACATGTGTGACACAGGGGGAAGAGCCTGTCTGTCCACTCCGGCTCTCACAGGCTCCAGAACCTCTGCAGGGCCCCAGGGCTTTCCAGGGTCCTGGGGGCAGCACAGTCCCTCCGGCGGAGGGGGGCGGAGGGGGGCAGAGGGGGGCGGAGGCGGGGTGGAGCCCAGAGTCAGTAGATACAGGAGCCCAGGAGGCCTTCATGGCCTCAGGCTAGAGGCTGCTCTTAGAACTCACTGGCCCTCCTCCTCTCTGCCTCCCCGACCAACCCTCACAGCACTCTACAAAGAATGAGAAGATTAAAGATTTGGAGCCTGTGATCCGATCACCCCTCCCCTTCCCCCCTTCCCTTCACTCCTGGGTTCCCAGACTGGCCTGGCTCTCAGCATTTCCCCTGGAGGACGGTGTCCAAGTCTGTTCTCCAGTGCATCCTCCTCCCCCTCTCCCCCCCCAACCCCAGCCTCCACCTCTCTCCTCCACCTCTGACACCCAAGGGAAGGGCCCTGGAGGCAGGGACCCAGTCCTCCAGAGGTAAGAACAGGGCCCTGCACCTCAGGGTCTGTTACATACAGGACGAGAAGGAACCGAGCAGAGGCTGGGGCTGAGCCCACCCAGGGTATGGACCCGCAGGGGGGAGACGCAGTCTGCCCTCCTTCTGCTCAGTGGCCGAGGTGGCTGGTGGCCAAGGCTGCCCTCCTCAGTGGCCCCAGGGCAGGAGCTGCCGAAGAGGGGCTGGCAGGTCCCCACCAGCCCTCCCCAGGCGACCCTCCTGAAAAGGCCAGCAATCTGCAGCGTGGTGGAGGGAGAATGCAGGAAGGGATGCTGAGCCAGTAGCATCCTGGAGAACCAGGATGGGGGGGGCAGATGCGGGTCTGGGGAGGTAGGGCCCAGGGGAGGGGAGGGAGCCTGCTGCCAGGGGCATGGGGGGGCGCTCCGGTGAGGTCTCCTTCTCTGCTCCACCCCACCCCAGGCTGAGGCTCTGGCGCCATGGAGGGGCTGGTTCCAGTCCTGTGGGCTTTGCTGGTGTCTGCGGGGTTTGCTGGCGGCAAGAAAGAGCCAGGTAGGAGCGGGCGCGGGGGGCGCGGGGCTCGCAGGCCGCGTGGGCAGCCCTCTCCACCCGGGCCCCCTGGCTGCCCCACAGGTGTGAACCTGACCTGCTACCAGTGTTTCAAAGAGACCAGCCAGGCGCTGTGCACGCCCACCGTGTGCTACCCCACCGACCAGGTCTGCGTGTCCAACGTGGTGGTCTTCCTCAGCAGTAAGTCTGGGGGCCGCGGGGTGGGGGGCAGGGCTGGGTCCTGACGCCCCTGGTCCACAGCCCCACTGCGCTCCCCTAGCGCTGGACCCCCGGGGGAGCACGCACACATTCTGAACTGTTCTCTTTCCGAAGCACCAGTTCTTAAATGCTGCCCCTGCAGAACTGTCCGCAGGGCAGGGGCTCGGGTGTAACTGAACGTACAGGGAGAGCTAGGCATCCAGACGGATGACTGCGCAGAGGAGAGTCAGCCAGGCCAGGCGCTGGCCCAGGACACCTGGCTGCCCACTGCTGTGCACCGCGCCTCGCCCCGCCTGGCTGCTGCGGAGCTTAAGTAGTAAGACCTGACTTCAAAAACAAGCCTTAGAGGAGATTCTAAAGTGGAACGTGAACACATTCCCTGTTGAAATATCACAGAGCAAACCACTCGAAATACTCCTCTATAAAATTATAAAAATAGCCAGAGAGAACTGGATGTGGAGAGGCCCATCTGCTCTCCTGAGAAAGCCCAGAAGCCGCCCGGAGGGTTCCAGGTCCCTGCGGGCCTGAGCAGGCCAACGCAGCCGCCCCCCTGCGTGGCTTCAAGGCCTCCGGGCCTGGCTGGAGCGTCAGTCACCGAATCCGCTCCGCACGCCGAACCTCAGGAAGTGTCTTGTTCCCTGCTTGTCCAGTAAGGATGCAAGAAGGTCCCTGTTGCACAGCCGGGCTTCCCGGAGATGAGCCTGTCAAGGGTCCGCGCGGTACGGCCCGCGGCACGTTTGACGGACACACTGGGCAGGCTGGGCGGGGGCGGCGCTGGGGACCGCTGGGCGGGGCCGCCAGCGTCAGGCCAGGATGGCGCCCGCTGGGTCCTTTCCACCTCGACCGTTCATTTCAGGGGGCAGGCCCAGCCCCTCCCCTGCGCTTCTGCCACCTGGGGGCGGCACTGAGCGCCCTTCCCGAGGCTGCGCCCCTTCCAGGCCTGGCTTTTCCTTACCGAGGGAGGGAATGTGCTGATGCTGAGGACATTGGTGCTGGGACTGAGTGCGGTTTGAACCTCTTCCCCCGCGCCCCCCCCACCCCCGGTTGGCTTTTCCCTTAGCAGTTTCCTTTACCTGGGCTCCACCTAGGGGTTCTGTGTCCGGTTTTGTGGCCTGAGGGCCTGGGGGGGTGCATATTAGTGGCCCTCCCTGCAAGGAGCAAACATCAGTGGGCTCTCTTTAGGGGCCCCCTCACCTGGGCCCTGACCTTTGCCCCCAGATCTCTACCCTGAGCACTGGGAAGAGGGCGCTGGGAGCTCTGGGAGGAGGAGGCCGGTGTCTTGCCTGCCTTCAGGTGCCCCAAACCGAGCGGCACCCAGCGGCCCACGAGCTGCCATGATACGACGTAACATGATCACCACATCATACCACCTGATATAATTCAACAGGACAGACTTTAACAATCCACACAACCAGCAGGACATAACGGGGTACCATATAATAGAGGGGGAGGGTCATCTCTTCTACAGTTTGGGTGTTTTGAGTGTTTTCCTTTCTTCCGATGTTCCCTTCAGAGGCTTCTGCCACATCCTTAAATGAGCAGCGGGAGGACAGAGCTAAGCCCAGGACTGGGCGAGTAGAGGGGACAACCACGTCCAGTCTCTGTCCACTCCGCTCTACCCCACATCCCTAAGATTTGCAGGCTTCTGGGGGGGGAAGCCAGGGTGGTCCAGGCCGTGTGTGGCTCCAGGGAAAAGCCTGCGCCAGGCCAGCAGTCCTGAACCCTGATTTTGTTGTGACCTCGAAGGTGACCGTGCGGAGCCATGTTCCCACTACCCTTGAGGGTCCCACAGTTCTCTGATTCTCAGGTCAGGTTCTGCTTTTTGCCGCATGGCAAAAGTTCTGGTTTTGTTTCCCATGGAAAACACCCCCTCCCCCACCTGCATGCCTCTTCCCGTGACCACCCACCCTCCTTCCTGCAGGTTGGCAGCCACCTGTCACCACCTCTCTTTTGCAGAATCAAAGGTGACACTTTCTCTCAGCAAGCGCTGCGCTCCCAGGTGTCCCAACACCAACCTGAAGTATGAGTGGACACTGGGACCCAGGATACTAGGCAGGATCATCAGGCAGTGCTGTTCTGGATATCTCTGCAACAGGGCACCCACCATACGAGAGGGTCCCTGGGCCCTTCGAAGGGGGGTCCTGCTTGGAGCGGGCCTCCTCCGGGTCCTGCTGTGAGCACCTTCTTCTCTTGGCCCCACAGACCCACTGTATCTTCCCACCTCCTGCTCCAGCCCTGCCCCCATCCTTTTCAAGACACTGGGTGGGACCTTCCCCCTCTGAGGCTGCAGGAAGCATGCCATTGCCTCCGTCCTGGACCTGGCCACTCCTCCCATCTCTGGCAGGGGCCCTTTGTTCAGACAGCCTGGAGAATGTAGCCCAGTCCTGCTTGGAGGAGAAAGGGCATATCCCAGTATGGGGTAACGGCTCTCTGTATAAGGTTGATCACCCTGAACACACTGCTTAGGGCCCTGTCGGGGGCAGGAAGAGCCTGGGCAAGGCCAGAGGGTGGCTGCAACCCGGGCTCTGGCTTGGACTTGGCCAACCCCTCCCCCTGGCCCAGCCCCATCTGCCCGTAGGGGCCCAGGCAGAGTCAGGCTGTGGGTGCCCACCTGTGCATTGAGACGACGACCAGCACTCCTGAAGACAATAAACTCATTGCCTGACCACTCTGTGCTCCTGCTCCTTCAGCTGCTTCCGCCTGCCAGGCCCAGACCACATCCCTCCAGCCCACCTCTCTACAGACCTGTGTGGTTGCCCATCGTCCATGGCAGAAGCGGTCAGATCTGGACAAGACCACCAGCTGGGCCAACCGAGCATGGGGATGGGCCCTGGGTTCTGGGCCTAGCACTGCATAAGCAGGAGGCCAGGGGGCCAGTAGACCACTGCGTGGACGTGGGGGAGACACTGGAGGGTGGGGGTCTGGGCATGTGGGTGGTGCTAGGATGTAAGGCACTAGGATGCAGAGACCCTGGGAAGGGACGGCTGGACAGTGGGGCCGTGTTTGTGGGCAGCTGGGTTGGAGAGAGTGAGGGCTGATGGAAGGGCTTCCAGGACAGCCCCCTGCCTGGCCAGGGGGAGGGCCGCCCAGGTGAGGGCACAGGTGAGGAGCAGGTTGGGACGGGTAGAACCAGTGACAAGCTCAGGACTGTCCAGGCTGAGCTGGAGCACCCACAAGACACCCCGGGGGACGTCCTGGAGGATGGGGCTGAGAGCAGGGCCCTTGTGTAGGGGACGAGGAAGAAGAGGAGAGTCTGTGGGCGGGGGTGGCATCAATAGGCAGCACATCCCCCAGAACACAGGAGAGTGCTGCTCCCCACTCCCAGCTCGTCAGGCCTGCCTGACCCCAAGTCTGCACACCTCCACCCTCCACGCACCTCCAACTCCTCCCCATCGCCCCATCTTCACACCTGTCCCCTGCCCTGGGTTCTTCACCCCTCCCCACCAGGGTCTGCACCAGCCTGGCTCTAGGTCCTTACACCTGCCTTCCATGGCACACCTGCACCCCATCTCCAACTACTTGTCATTTCCCCCACGGACTCAGGTGGACCTGGCTGCCCCGTGGTGCCCCAGGGCCTTTGCAAGTTTGGGACACCCCTGGGCCTTGGCTTACCTCTGGAAGCCGCTGGAGTTAAGCTGAGATCTCAGATAAGATGCCCCAAGATTCTCAGCCTGGAGAAGGACCTTCACTGTGCTTGTGAGTTTTCATGCTGAATTTAAATGTCACCTCATAACCGGGCTGTCCAGGCAGGCCTGTCGCCATCTGTTGTCCGAATCTCCCCACTCAGGGGCCCTGGCACGTTGGGGCATCAGGAGTCTCTGGTTCCCTGAGCTTTGGGCCGGCCAGAAAGCCAGTGCAGAGGGGAAATGACCACTGGTGTAAACAGTTGGGGGTCTTCCTTCAGAGCTGCATTTACCTAGGAAGTATGTGTGTGTGATCTGGGTCAGGGGCCACTATGCCCTGTGTCCCCATGGCCCACTCTTCCAGCCACTCTCTGCTTCCCTCTCCATGAAGATGAGCACCTTTGGAACTGGGGGCTCTGGTCCCTCCTCTGGATAGGGGACCAAGGATTGCAAGCCCTCAGGGCAGCCTCTCGGCTGGAAATCAGAACATTTGCTGAATAAATGGGCACATTAGTCGCTAAAGAATGAGTGAGGGAAGCATCTAGGAGCAGTGGGGAAATTACCCAGAGTGGTGACAAATGCTTAGCGAGACTAAGACGTGGGGCTAGGGGCCGGCTGCAGGGGCACCAGAGCGGCTAAGAGGGCAGCCCGCCCTCCTTCAGGGCCTCCGCGTCCTACCCAGCCGCTCCGCTTCCCAAGTCCCCAAATGCCAGGTGATCGCCCCCCCAGACACCAAGCAACATGGGACGACTGTAGGGCAACAGGAAGACTGTGCAGTCTGTGGGTATGGCTCTACTCATTTATTAGTTCCAGGAGTTTTGTTGTTGACTCTTTGGGGACCAGGGTCTCTTTCACGCTCACGGCTAGAAAACTCAGGTCCTGACACGAGCCTATCACCTCATGGTGATGCCCGGATTTGCCCACCGCCGGCTCATCTCCATCCCGGCTCATGCCCTGCCTTCCCTTTCTTCCACCCCACCTGCTTCTGATTCTCCTATTTTGCACTACCTTAACTCTAAATACAAAGTGGATTTGGTGAGTCAGTGTCTATAATTTCTCTCTTTCTCGACGCTGGTCCTCGGTGCTGTGTGCAGGGCGTTGCCTGGGGAGCCCCTGCCCAGTGGTGGTGTTGACTCCCCCGGCGGCGAAGCTTGGGTCTCTCTGCCCAGACACCCTGCATGAGACACGCTCTCAGGAGGCACCTGCCCAGCAGCCCGGGGCCAGTGCGCTGGTGCGGATCTCGAACGGAAAAGCGGGGCGTGAGGCTGTCCGGTGTTGCCTCCACTCCCCTTAGCCTGGGAAGTAGACCCAAAAGCCCCTATTCTCAGGCTGTCATGTCTGCTGTATATACTGTGAATTAGGTCACATGCTCACTTCATAGGCAAGAGAATCCACCCGTCCAGTGTCCCCTGCAGGCTCCCGTCTCTCGTAGCCCCCACCCCGCCCCACCCCTGGGGCGAGCACCTGGCGGCAGGTCTGCCCCACTGAGCCTGGAACACAGCAGCCGGCATCCTCGCTTTGTCCTCAATGTCCAGATTTTATCATTTAACAATAAATCATCCCATGGGCCGCGTTCTCTGACCATACCCCTGTAAATGAAATAGAAATACAAAGAAGATAAACTTGAAAATCCCAAATATTTGGAAACTGAACTATGGCACTTCCATCAGTTTATCTGTCAAAGAAGAAATTATAGCAGGATTCTTCAATTCCTTGAACTGAACAGGAATAAAGATCAGTGCAAACTTACATTTTAACATGAAAGTGGGACTTTGAAGAAAAGGTAAACTGAAGCCTTACGGGAGAGGAGGGGGGCTGAGATCTAGCGCCTGCAAACCAAACGGAAATAGAGAAGATCCACAAACCAACTGACCAATGCTGGTGGGCAGGACTGGAATGAGGAAGGAGTGCGCGCTCACGCAGCCTCCTGCACGTGGGTCTGCTCAGCCAGGGCTCTGGGGGCCTCGGAAGGGCAGCCCGGCACTCACCGGCCCAGGCAGTCGCTCCGAATCGGGAACGTCGTGTACTACTAACTCGTCAGAATTCACTGAACTGGGATGCCTGCGTGACTCAGTCGGTTAAGCGTCTGCCTTCAGCTCGGGTCATGATCCCAGAATCCTGGGATCGAGTCCCGCATCGGACTCCTTGCTTGGCCGGGAGCCTGCTTCTCCCTCTCCCTCTGTCTGCTCTGCCTGCCGCTCCCCCTGCTTGTGCTCGCTCTCTGACAAATAAATAAATAAAATCTTAAAAAAAAAAAAAAAAAGGAACTCACTGAACTGTCCACTTAAAAAGGGGGCTTTTTTGCCTGTACGTAAATCACACTTTGGCAAAGTTAACTGAATTGTCACAAGAGATTCATTGCATACCTCTATGGAATAAAGTTGAAAATTCAGAAGAAAGGAAGTATTTCCTGGTAAAAACCACAGTTTTCTAAATTTAACCCAAGGAGTAAAATTTCCAAGTTTCTTCTACAAAGCGAGCGGAACATTGACTGCCGATGATGCTGATGATGACACAGGAAAGGAAATTCTAGCACTTCTGCACAGTGGGGCAACAACATAATACTTGCAAACCCAATTCCACAGCGTGTTACACAGTAATGTACGTGCGCGACGGCGCGCGCGGGGAAGGACTGGCCGAACTCTGCGCCCTCGCAGAGGAAGAAGGGTGAGCACCTCTATCACCGCCTCCTAGCGTCGGATTGGAGGCGCAACCAGAGAAAACGACTGGAGGCCTGAGAATCAAGGAAAATACAATCTGTATGTGCAGCCGACGTCATAGTATATTGGAATGTGAACAAATGTGTGACCATTTGGAAGAAGCCAAATCTGCATCTATGTACATGCATCCACACATCACACATAAGAACAAACTAAGTGGTAAACAACCAAAACTATACAAATACCGAAAGAAACAATATGTGAATATCTTTGTAACCTGGGTGTGGAGAAAGGCTTCTGGAGTACAAATCAAGATCCAAATGCAAGAAATAAAAAGATAGATTAATTTGACTATATAAAAATACAAAGTGGGGGGCACCTGGGTGGCTCAGTCGTTAAGCGTCTGCCTTCGGCTCAGGTCATGATCCCAGGGTCCTGGGATCGAGCC